ATATGGGCTAATCTTACTGGGGTTAGGTGGTACCTCAAAGTAGTTTTGATTTGCATTTCTCTGATGATTAAGGATTACAAAGTTACTTTCATATGCAATAAGAGGATGTATATTAACTAGATGGCTGACATCTCAATAACACACAGTTCTACCTTGACTCTACACATTCAAAAGGACCAGGAAATGTCATACCTTGAGAAAATAAGCATGAAGAGCTCCTGCTTTTTACTTTCTTCTCTTTTATTACCACTGTTTAGTGTGTTATGACCTTCCAGTTTAATATAGAAAACCTACTCATAATAAGTTGGTTATAGTAGATAGCCTTGCTACAGTACTACAACAATACTTAGACATCTGCTTTTAATTCAGTTTCATGTGCCTACTTGTGAACTAATGATTCTTTGCCAATTCTGATGTTCTATACTTTCTAGTTTGATATTAATCAAAATTAGTTGTCCTTTAAAAAATATGTAATTTTAATTTTGTGCCCATTTATTTTTCTTTATTCATATATTTATTTTATTTATATATTATAATTAGGAAATAATATTTTGGCAGAATAATACATTACTTAGAACAAGGTGCCTCATGTTTCTACAACTATCTCATTCTTAAAATTGAGATTTAAAACAAAGTATAATTGGTATATATTGAAAAGTAGCAAACCTAATACATTTATGTCCTTTATTGAAAATGTTTCTATAAATGTAAGCAAATAGATATTATGAATGAGTCAGTTTTTCCATTCCACAGGCATATCATTCTAAATACTTTTTATTTTCCCTAACTAGACATTTGAACTGAATTTACTGTTTGTGTAACTTTTAAAATGACTATTCTGCATACTGAAACATAGATACAAATTATTTTACCATTAAGTACATACACATTTTAAAAATTTTATTTGGGAGAAATGTGAACATACATAAAAAAAATATATTATACCTTTATGTACCCATCTCATAGCTCTATGAGCTCATATCTAACCCTGCTACCTCCACATGTCTGCTTTTATTCCCCATGTATTATGTTGAAGAAAATTCCAGCTATACTATTTCATCCATAAGTGTATTGCAGTGTTTTGAAAATACACTTAGCTCTGAAAAATATAAATACACTTAATTTTCCTACCTATGGAAAAGTAAGAATTAGAGAGTTTGTTACAATTTTTAATGCTACTGTTTGCTTCATGATGTTGTTAAAATTATAATTGTAGCAAATTGACTATAAGGAATTGACAAATAATTCACTTCCTATTAACAAAAAGACCCTTCTTATTACATTCTCAAGGCCATTGTTTTCTAAAGTATGTTGTTTGGACTATTAATGCACCATGAGCTCTTAGTAGATGTGCCTCAAAGAATGGGTTTTGTTGTCCAGTAAGTTCTAAAATTCTGAATACTTTGTTTTTGAAAAATCGAAGAGCAGTTTAGATTAGTAAAGTTCTAGATAAGTCTTGTATTAAAGAATCTTGTTTCACTTTGTTTAAACCCAGTGTTTCCTGTAGTAATTTGACCATGTCAAATTTTTCTTTTATTGTAAATACTTATGAATGTTTCTTTAGAACTTAATATTCTAGAAAAACAATTTGGAAATCATTGCTCTATTTGCTAGATAGGTAGAAACAGCTATCCATAGACCACCTAAAGATTTCTCAACTATAGCAAAGATCCATATGAATAAAAATCTCTCAGAGAGGTGGAAATGGATATTTTCAAAAATAACATTCATAGATAATTGTAATGTTCACATTGGAAGCTACCATGATATTAAATTGTAGCCATCCTGCATTATGGTAACAGTCTTTCTGTATGACCAAAATCAATAGTAACTTACTAGGGATTATGCCTGAACATCATGCTTGTGCTTTAAATTGCTACTAAACTTTAAGAAAATGTATTTGGCAAATTCAGGAAGCATTTAAAAACATATTTTTCAACTCCATAAATTCACTCTATGGAACATAAAATCAATCTTTATATATTGTTTAAGTTCTGTTCCTGTCACTTTGACTCAATAAATCCAAAGCTTTATTTTATTGCTGATTGGAACTTCAGCATAACTTAATATGTTAATATACAATAGATCAAATATTTGCATTAATATGAGAATCCATTCATTTTAATTAATGAATAATTTTACTTTAGATCTTCTCACTGGCCCATACAGTCTCCTGAATACTGCTGAGAATAGTCATGCTTAGTATTGTGGACTAACCGTGTAACTGTTGCTGAGGAGTGTCAGTTACTGCATTTGGATCTGCTTGCTCAATACAATGAGAAAAACATAGTTTTATGACATTTATGTATGTTGTAATTAATACCAATGTCTACTAGCTATAGTTTGGTATATCTCATATCAAAATCTCCATGCTTAAACTATGAATAGACTAATAACATTTGTTTAATTAAACAATCAGAAAATTAATTTTCTTCACATAGTTCGTGGGTATCTATATATTTGTCTTCAATAAACCCGTCATCATCTACCACAAATGAGTGTAATCGTTCAAATATTACTGTAGTGTCTTCAGGGTTTGTAGCTGATATCTGTGAAAAAGAACTTGGATTTCCATTAAAACTTTCATTGTAGGTTTCTACTTCATGCTCTTCTAGGCGATGATGATTGTAACTAAGCAGAATGTTATACCATATTGGACATTTGATAGCAATAAAGATGAGGAATGAAGTCATCAGTACAGTGACAACAACACCAACAAGGAAAGCCCAACTTTTCCCAAGAGGTCCATGTTCTTAAATGGAATAGAGAGAGAGAGAAAGAAAGAATTTGTTAAATTGACAAAAATAAAATATTCACATCCTAATACTCAGCAATATTTGTATTAGAAATGAAGGCACATTATAGTTTTTTTTTCAGCAAAAGCTACTAAAACTATGATAAATGAATAATATTTTGTATTATGGTGAAAGAATACCTTTTTTCAAAATAACTACCTGTCTTTGCAGGTATTATTACCTATTTACATAAGATTTGTGACTTGACTACAGCAGTTTCTCAACCTGTGGGTCGCAGCCCACAGGAACTATGTTAAAGGGCCACAACATTAGGAAGGTTGAAAACCACTGTTTGACTAGTTAGAAGGAAGGCTCAGAGAAGTTAAATAATTTGCATAATGGTGTTTGACTGGTAGCTAGCAGAGAAGTCTAGTATTTTGTAAATCTTATGTTGCAATAAGGAATTAATCTTTTACGTTCCTTATAGAAATTTAAACTGGAGAAAGATAATGAGAACAACCTCAGTTTATTTACTATACTTCTATCAATATTAGTGTTCAGTTCCAAATAGCCCTGTGAGCATGAAAAAAAAATTAAAAATATTCACAATGAATTCCTTACCTGAATCTCTTGTTAAGTTGTTCAAAGAGCTATTAAAGGTTGAATTACTCATGGACTGAAAGTTAATATGAAGATCTTCAATTATAGGTGAAGGAGATTGTGAGTGGCAGTCAGACTTAAGAGGTACTGTTTTGATATTGTAGCTCTTCAGCATATCTGGGTACCTACACATGGTGATGTTTTCATTTTCTAGTAAATGAGAAAGAATAAATTAAGATTTATTATAGAGAATAAGAATAGCTAACATTTTATAATTATTTTTCTCTACTGTCATTAGTATTATTTTTTTGAGACAGAGTCTCACTATGTCACTCTTGGTAGAGTGCTGTGTTATTATAGCTCACAGCAACCTCAAACTCTTGGGCTTAAACGATTCTCTTGCCTCAGCCTCCCAAGTAAGTGAGACTACAGGCACCTTCCAAAATGCCCAGCTATTTTTCTTTTTTGTTGCCGTTATCATTGTTTAGCAGTCCGGGGCTGGGTTTGAACCTGCCAGCCTGGGTGTATGTGGCCAGCGCCCTAACCACTGAGTGACAGGCGCCCCTGACAACCTTTCGTTATTAAAGACATCATAAGAAAGAAATTCTTGTATGTGCCTAGCAACACAATGATAGAATAATACACATTTCTGTTTATCATGTTATAAATACAGCTTTAATGCAGTATCTGTTTATTGTTCAGTTATTCTATGCTAAAATTATGGTTAAGGTCATAGTTACAATCTGGATTTCAGACAGAGCAGAGTTTGCTATACACCTACTTTCTAGAAAGTACTTTAAAAAATTACTCTGATGTATATTGACTTTGCTACCTTAATTCATGAAGTGACAGTATCATCTCACATACATAGAACATTTAAATTTTTTCTCTTTTTTTCTTGTTTGGGTGTGGGAAGGAAATATCTCTTTAGCAATTAGTTTGTAGTATTTTCCCCGTTTACCTTAAACTGAAGAATTGCCTTTTCTTTAAAACATAAGAGATTTTCCCATTTTGGTTTTATTAATTTAAATTATAATAGCTTACCTAGTGTCACATGTGATGTTTTAAGCCAGTTCTGCAAACTGAATAGTCTACAAGAGCAGTTCCATGGGTTTCCATATAAAATTATTAATTCCAGATGAAATAGTTGTGGTACTGCAAAAGAACTTATCCAATTGCCATGCAGATTCAGAATTTCCAGGTTTCTCAGAGGCACAAACATATTAGTATTCAGTTGTACTATTTGATTTTGACAGAGATATAACTGTTTTAGTTTACGTAAGCCTACAAATGCACCCCGTTCAATTATAGAGATGGAGTTTCTACAGATATTTAAAATTTCTAGATTGGATAGGTTACCAAAACTGTTATTATGTAAGATAGTGACATTGTTCTCAATTAGATAGAGCTCAGTGAGTAAAAAATATGTCTGCAGAACCCTTATGTCAGTGGCATTCAGAGTAATATGGTTATAACTGAGATCAAGTACAGTAACATTTTTATTAATAGTCACTGGAACCAAAGAATAATTCCTTTCAGTGAAATTACATTGGCCTTCCTAAAAAAGAAAAAAATAAAAATGCATTAATCAGGAAAAATATTAACAGAATTTCCCCCCAAATATCACATTCAAGCACTTAGACATTGGAAGCAAATCATTTTGGGAAAAAAATCTATCCAAAATTTTGGTATTATAGTGTGCCAAAAGTAGAGCATATGTTTTTCTTTCTTTATTGAGATGAAATGCTGAAGATTCAGGAAATTCTGACACTTATAAACAGAGATTCTAGTATCTAGTTGGTTGTATAGGTATCTCCCAACTGTTATTACATAATGATTCCAGGAAGAATATTGGTGTATTTCCATTTATACATGTGGAAATACATGATAAATAATAATTTAATATTTCAGTGTGCAAGATTGTATTTATAATGAGGAAATTATTTAAAATTATATAATTTTTAAAAATAATAATTACTAACATTACATGTAGGTCTATTAATAATTAAGAAATAATACCCAATATATAATAGCTCTCTAGGGATAACAGTGCAAAGTTTTGTTTTTTAAAAGGAAATATTTATCTTATCAGAAATGGAACTATATATTGAATTTAAAGAACCAGGAGACCTGAAGTGCTTTCTTTCTGTGGATGTAGAATGAAAGAAATATTTCTTGTTTTTACTGAATGGTAAGAATAAGTAGATGTAAGAATAGTTCATGCTTCCTATCATTGGTGCAGTAGTGTCACAACAATAATAATGCAGCAACAATTTCCCTTATAAATATGTTTTTTTAAAAAGTTTCTTACATTATCCTGGTTTTTGTCTTGAAACTAATCTCTGATTTATAGTGAATATTTTCTGTTCATTGTTTAGTTTGTCTATGTTAATAAAGATTTTATGATTAAGATTATAAAATAGGATTCTAGGCAGAACATAGTTTGCAGTTAAAGTAGAACACCTGAAAATTCACAGATTTCTCCTTTAATCAATTTTTAAGGAACTCAGTTTAAAGAAATGAAAATTCAAATTAGAAGCTGGCTCAAATCACAGATTTTGAATATACACAGTTTAAAAAAAAGAGTTAATTTTGATAGCTTAGATTTTCTTTACTATTTTTTATTCCTTTGGGATATTTTACTAAATGTACAGAAAGTATACCTTGGAAAACATTTTTACTGCAGTGATTGTAAAAACTTACTGTTATAGAAGTCTGGCTTTTGTCTGGTAGTAGTAGAATGGAGAAAGGCCAAAATAAGGTCGCAATGCATATGACTTTCATATTGCAGGCCTGATAGAGAAGAGAATATTTTCATTTCAATAGGAGACAAGAACTTGAGGTTTGGATGGCATTCTGATTTCCTGTTTTTCCTTTTTAAATCTGCTCTTTCTTAAAATACAGAAACTGAAACAAGATGGCCATTCACCATCTCTACATTGTGGAGAATGAGAGACTTAATATTTTCAAGTCTTATTAGTTCCTAGATCCTTTGAAAGGAGCTTGAAAGCCAGTTGAAGTGGTTGTACATTTAAAATTTTTAATATATAAATACACAAAAGAAAGTTCAGAAGAACGTATATGTGCACGTTTAAGTGCTTATATTGCTAATTCTTTTTTTTTTTTTTTTTTTTTTTTTGAGACGGAGCCTCAAGCTATCCCCCTGGGTAGAGTGCTATGGCATCACGCTCACAGCAACCTCCAACTCCTGGGCTCAAGCGAGTCTCCTGCCTCAGCCTCCCAAGTAGCTGGGACCACAGGCGCCCGCCACAACGCCTGGCCATTTTTTGGTTGCAGCCATCATTGTTGTTTGGCGGGCCCGGGCTGGGGATTCGAACCCGCCACCTTAGGTGTATGTGGCTGGCGCCTTAGCCGCTTGAGCCACAGGCACCGAGCCATATTGCTAATTCTTTTTGTTAACATTATTCATTTTTGAGACAGAGTCTCTGTCACCCCAGCTGGAGTGCACTAATGCAGTCATAGCTCACTGTAACCTCCAACTCCTGGGTTCAATCAATCTTCCTCAACTTGCTAGGACTATAGGTATGTGCCTCCATGCTTGAATAATTTTTAGCAAATATTTTTTAGAAATGGGAGCTTGCTATGTTGTTCAAGCTGGTCGTGAACTCCTGGCCTCAAGCCATCCCCCTACTTTGGCCTCTCAAAGTGCTGGGATTACAGGCATGAATACTACCTTTATTGCTACTTCTTGATTTTCAATTTTTTGGCATTATCTGTTGGTGTTATTTGTTAATTTATAACTGTGAGATATCAGAATCTTCAGTTCTTTTGCAAATACTCCCTACCTTTATACCTAAAACACATCAAACATGTACTTTATCTTCATCTCCTAACATAGTTACTTGCAATTTTGGTTAGAGGAATGTTCAGTGTTTATATTATTCAGTGTTTACACTGCCCCAAGTGTATAAAAGCTGTCACTGATTGAACCGTGTAACAAGATTACTTTTCTTTCCTGCACACTTTGTCTCCCTCTAAATTAATTGTACTTGTTTTTTTCATGTGCTTAGTTTTCAGTTTTTTTCATGAACTTATGCCCAAACTCTCCCCTAGCACATCTTTTATTTATGTATTTTAGATATTTAATCTGTTTCATCTGCTTTAAAAAGTCTCTTCCAGAGCCTGCTGCCACGTTCTTAATCTAGAGAAGCTAGAAGACCACTAAGTCTTCTATACAGCTGTTGGCTTCCACTCTCATCAGAGAGATTCTCTTTTGCTTTTGTTACCGGATTCCTGTTTTCTAAAATGCCCTTTGTTGGTTTATTGCCTTGTTTCAATGGAGTTTCCTCAATAACTTCCTGAGAAGGTACATAGAAGGGAAATATTTCTAGACCTTGAAAGATGTTTTGGCTAGAAATAGAATTCTATGTTGGAAATAACAGTCTCTCAAAATGTTGATAGCACTGCCCTATTGTCTTTAGGTCTATAGTATTACTGTTAAGAACTGTGATGCCATGTCACTAATTCTTTATACTTTTATGTAACTTGTCCCTTTCTAACCCTCAGCTGTTAAAATCGTGCTATATTCTGAAATCTCATGATACTGTGTCTTTGTAAGATTCTGTTTTCATCCACTTAACTGGGTACTCGGCCAGCCCTTTCAATCTATATATCTCTCAGTTCTAGGAAATTTTCTAAATTATTTCTCTGATTGGTGTTATTATTTCCTTCCTTCCTTCCTTCCTTCTTCCTTTCTTCCTTCTTTCCTTTCTTCCTTCCTTCCTTCCCTCCCTCTCACTTTTCTTTATAGAACTAAATTAATTGATTATCAGACTTGGAATTATTGTCTTATATTCTTTTATCTTTACTTTTATCTCTGTTTCTTACTCTGTTTTCTGGGAGACATCCTTGTCTTTATCTTCAAACTCTTTCATTGAATTTTTCTTTTTCCCAACTTTTTGAAACTCTTTTTGAGGGTTTGTGTGTGTGTGTGTGTGTGTGTGTGTTTTTCTTTTTTTGGTTCTCTGAATATTTGCTTTAGTAGTATCCTATTGAATGTTTTTCCTTTTGTAATTTTTTTTCTTGAGTAAACTCTAATATAGTGTCCTTAAGTTGTATTTTTTTCAGTTTATTCTGGACAGTGTTCTTGAGGCTTTCTTCATAAGTCTGTTAATATTTTGTTTGGAGCTTAGGTATGAGAGTAGGAAATTAGTACACTGGTGGACACTGCTTTGTGTGAGTCTTGACTTCAGATCTTACTATAGGGTAAACCTGTTGGACTCTTTTCTTGGAGAATCACTAAATGTTATTGTTATCTTTAGATCTTTTTTCTTGGGCTAGTAGGGTTCCACAGAATGATTCACAATCTGTTATGATAAGGCCCAGTGGCCGGCATTGCTAAGTGGTAGAAAAGGGCAGGTTTAGTGTGTAAACTTTAACTTAATCTTAACTTGTACATATTCACTTGTACATACTGCTCAAATCCCATTTGTTTTATTTTCTCCAAAGGAAAAAAATCCTGGTATCTTCTACTAGAGTAAGGGAAGAACATTAACTGGCTGGCCATGGTGGGGAGGAGTTAGCTCCTCTTGCTGTACTTCTGGTATACTTGGTGATACCAATTTGGGGGCCATTTAGAGTTTCTGCAATATAATTCAGGTGGCCTCTCAGCTTTTCCCACTGCCAGCTTGGGAAAATTTTGCTTTCCTGGTCAGTTTCCATTCAACTGTTAGCTTTCTGGTTTCTCTGTTTTATTGCTGCCATCCCCTCTTCCATTTTTTTGTCCTCATAAGTTTTTGTCCTTTTTAATCTTTTTTTTTTTTTTTTTTTTTTTGCAGTTTTTGGCTGGGATCAGGCTTGAACCTACCACCTCTGGCATATGGGGCCAATGCTCTACTCCTTTGAGCCACAGGCGCTCCTCTTTTATCTTTTATTTTTATTTTATTCAGGTTTTAGACAGAATTCCAAGATCATCCTATCTTTTTTTTTTTTCTTACAGAGACAGGTGGCAAAAAGGAAATGAACATCCTGTTCATTTCCATCCTTTACCTGGAAATTGCCATCTTCTTGCTAAATAGTTACTTTCTTTTTTTGAGACAGAGTGTCAGTATGCAGCCCTCAGTAGAGTGCGATAGCGTCACAGCTCACAGCTACCTCAAACTCCTGGGCTCAAGTGATTCTTTTACCTCTGCCTCCCAAGTAGCTGGGACTATAGATGCCACCATAAATGATTACTTTTCATTTAATGATTTTATCTATGACATTGATATTTCTTGTTCTTTACTCTGTTTTCTTAAAATCAATATTAAAAACCATGTGCACATAAATTATCTGTTTGAATGGATACGAATATATCCTGTCATCTACAGAGGTCTGCTAAAATAGTCTTTTGATCTTCTTAACAGCATTTGTATAACTCATTTTTTATGGGTTTTTTTTTTTTTTTAAGGAAAAGTGTATTCCATTAGAGGAAGTAGAAAAACTAATCAGAGAGTGAACAGGATTACTTTCAGATTACTTTATGTGTCACCTCAGTAGCAATGAGGATTTTATTGCTATTTCAATGCTGGTCTAGTCAATTTTCTCATTGCCTTCAATTTGTTGATCTGTGTATGCTTATTCCCCTTCTACCTTCTTTCCATAGTTGAATTGAATTTGTTAAAAACAAGCAAACAAACAAACAAAAAGCCACTCTTCCATCTAGATTTTATACAAATTGGATGCAAAGCTAGAAATGAATTCAAACTATCACTTATTCTATACCATTGCCCACAGAGGGGTATGCCTAAATCATTTACAAAAGGTAGCTTACCTGTGTTTAATGATCTTTAGAATAGGTGTGAAGCCTCTTCAATGGCTTGTTTCAATATTTGTCAGTGGTCTGAAGTTCTTTCTTATATCTCTGGTGGGATGGACAGGTAGGTTAGGGGGATGTGCCATGGGGTTGGTTAAAGGAAGCAAATAGGCTACAAAGAAAATAAACTGGATTTAAGTCAAAAGAGATGGGAAGTAGAAGCAGGTGAGAGGGTAATGGGGATGAAGCAGGACTGTGAGCCTGTGTGGAAGTGGAGATGAGAGGATGGTTTTTGTTTGTTGTATTTATTATCTATTTAATACAAGGTATTGTTTTCTTCAGTGTGCTAAAAGAAATAAAAGCATAAGAATTAAAGCAGGATTCTTTGTTTCTTCTTTCCACTTGATAAATTTAGAGTTAGAGGTAGTATATAGTCAGCTCAGGGTAGGTTCTGTACAAGAAAGTATTTAACAAACATAAAACATTATTAGATATAATAATGAAGCTGTGAAATACCCTGATTAATCTACACCATCCATAGAAGTTTTCTCATATTCGTGTATGTTTCTCAATAGAAAGATTCAGAGAGGGGGTGAATGTTGACCATTATGATACTGAAAAAAATCATAAATCTCCAGACAAAAGCAGTCGTTAGCATTATTGGCTGTCTTTAAAAAATCAGATTCACAGAAAAGCCAGACAGATTATGCAGAAATTGCTCATTAATCACTGTACCCTGTTCAAAAGGTTTATTTAAAAAGAAGGCAGTTAATCTTGCCTTTTTCTCCTTTTGGAATTTTTCCTCAACTTCAATTTTATTCTGAAATTACATTTAAGTTCCAATTTGGTGATTATTTAGGAACTAATAAAAATAAAAAACAAATGGAATATCAGTTTATTTTAGTTATTTTACAAAATTAAGTGTCCTTTCACACAGCTTACCACCTACATTACAGAAAAGAAAGAGTTTTACACAAAGGAAATGGTAGATATCGAAAAGGAAACAGTGTTCTTAATGGAATTTCACGTATAGTTTCCTAGGACCTTTTAGTTACTTACTTTAATGATTGTTATATACTGTAAAAAATAAGATACTGTAATATTTTTCATATTGTTACATAAAATCTACATGTAGCTCTACCATTAAGTATTTTAGATATTTATGCCAGAATTCAATATATTAAGAGTAAGATATTAATGATTCACAGTTAACTTCACTCTTCTATTTACCTGTTTCATAGAAAAATTAATTTTTTGTAATGGAAAATTTCAAGAAAAAACTTGAATAAGGAGAGTAGGTGTTAAAATTAGCCATTAGTATCCAGTCTTTATTTCATTTTGTAAATTTGTTTTTAATATCACTTCAAAATGTTCTGTGGTTAACATTTTTAAATAAACAAATCTTATAAATTTGATTGACTAGAAAAAACCTTGTTTTCCCAAAAGAAAAATAATTACTTTGCATTGCATTATAACTTTACTTGGAAAAGATTTTTTGACTGTGTCCTAGGTTTATATTATTTCTGAGGTAAACCGTGTGGAAATATATTTCCTGCTCCTTCATCACTTATTAAAGGTGAAGATTGTTGTACAGACATTTCAGCTTAAATATGATTTATTTTCTTTAAGAAATTCAACAACAATCTCAAACATAAATATACGGGAACTTACCTTTATTTTTTTCTTTCACCTGAGACTGCTGTGCTGAAGCAATTTTTTCTGTTTCTTCTACACCATTTTTAAAAAGTATGTCATATGATTGCATTTCAGTTTGTTTTAACCTTTGTACCCAGTGAATGGGTGGTAAAAAAAAAAAAAAAGAAACCAGACTTCCTAGTTCTAGCAAAAGATTGACTAGAAGAATAATTTCTTAAAGTTATCTTTGACTTTTTTAGAGTAACAAGTAAGGCATTTGCCTAACATTCATGTTTCTTGGTTACTTTTGAAAATTTATTAAAATATTAACAGTTTTACTTGTTGATTTAAAGTATATACTATTGGGAATGCTATTGAGATATATTGTTGCTAATATAATTTGTAGTAGTCCTGAAGGTATTTTGTGTTTAGAAAGGTTCAAAATGAAAAGTTTTATATTCCCTTGAGTTTCAACTTTGTTGTTTATTCATTTTTTTCAAATGTTCATCTTTTTTTAATTTAATTTTTATTAAATCATAACTGTATATATTACTGGACCCTCACCTTTCACCACTAACAAAAATTATTTACTCATTTTTATAATGGCATCTTTGATGGTTTTACTGCCAGGTTACTACGGGAACAAAGTGCTCAAATTGTCAAAAAACTTGACGTGTGGTCTTCAGAAAATCAGTTACCTTCCTTATGGTATAATTTTTCCTCTGTCAAATGGAGTACTTTATAACATTAGTTTGCATCTGACTATAGTAGATAGTAGAAAGAAATGTAGACATAGTAGATGTAGACAAATGTAGATATAGTAGACATAGTAGAAAGAAATGTTGGTGGTGAATATTCAAGTTTAGAATAAGTTAGTTCCAAAAGATTAACTCCTCTGGGCTTTAGTATCCCTCATCTATAAAAGAAAGAAATTGAAATAGATGATATTTTGTGCCTAAATATTCTATGAGCCCACATACCCATACGAGTTCAATCAGCAGCAAACACGTTTGTTGTACTGTAGAAATTGAGGTTCAAATTAAATGCAGTAGAACTTCTGTAAGTTAACCACCCAAAGGACTGTAATGAACTGATCAACATACAGAGGTGGTCGATGAAAGGAATTTCCATTAAGTACCTGTGGTACATGTCTGGTCTATGAAAATTAGATTAGCTTAAGGAGGTGATCTATGTAGGGAGGTAATCAGCTGTGGAGGTTCTACTATATATCACTCCCTGTCCAACAGTATGACAAAAATAAATTGAAATTCCAGACTGTCTATTTTGTTTATGTTCATCTTTTATTTGGTTATGTGAGATGTTGCTTGTAAGGAAATATCTGAGTTTAGATTTTTCATTCTACTAATAGTAGGTTATGAGTGTGGAGTGTGTGTGTGGGATGTGCGGATCTGCAGGGCTTTGTGATTGTGAAAACTGTTGAAGTTGATACCTAGAAGTGAGAGGGAATAAATAGTGACAGATTAATCAGATTTTAGAATCAAAATAGAAATTTATAGTTTGGGGACTGAAAAGTTATGTTCAGTCAAAGTTTTACATATATATCTTGAAGTTAAACAAATACTACTTACTTTTTTTTTTCTGAAGTTTTCTCTGTCCTATTAGTAGCAACCTCACAGCAACCTCAAACTCTTGAGTTTAAGTGTCCTCTTGCCTCAGCCCTCCCAAGTAGCTGGAACTACAGGTGCCCTCCACAATGCCCGGCTGTTTTTTAGAGAAGGGGTCTCACTCTGGCTCAGGCTGGTCTTCAATCTGTGAGCTCAGTCAGTCCTCCCACCTTTGTCTCCCAAGTGCTGGGATTATAGGAGTGAGCCACTGTGCCCAGTCAGTGAAGGTGTAATTTTTAACAAATCAAATTACAGGCAGTGCTCATAGCTCAGTGAGTAGGGCACCAGCCACATACATTGAGGTGGGTTCAAACCCAGCCTGGGCCAAATAAAGCAACAATGATAACTGCAACCAAAAAATAGCCAGGCATTGTGGCAGGTGCTTATAGTTCCAGCTACTTGAGAGGCTGAGGCAAGAGAATCACTTTAGCTCAAGAGTTTGAGATTTCTGTGAGCTGTGAAACCACTTTAGCTCAAGAGTTTGAGGTTGCTGTGAGCTGTGAAACCACAGCACTCTTCCAAAAGTGACATAATGAAACCCTGTCTCAAAAAATAATAATAATCAAATTACAGTGCAGGTGTCCCTACTCCCCAGTCAGTCAGAGTGGCATTGCTTTATATGATTTACATGACAAACTTCTATTCTAAATTTTATTTGGCCAAAGGATTCTGCTAAAAAAATTTTTGAAAATTAAGTATAAGTACATCCTCACATGTACAAGTTGTTAAGGATTTTCTGCGATAGTCTTTGGGATTTCTTAGTAAAGTGGAGAATAAGGAAATAAAAGAACCAGGGGGTGGAGAGGAGAAAGAGAAAGTCATAAAGTAAGTCTATGCTGATGGGGACAAATTTTCTGAGTCAAATAGAACTTTTTATACATATATAAGAACTTTCAAGTCATACACTATGGTTGAATACCTTTAAGCACACTATTAAGCTGAAACTGTAACTGGATAAAATGATTTGATGTTATTTTCCTCAATATAATAATAATATAATATGCTTTTGATTTCAGGAAAGAAAAACAAATTAGAAGTGTAGAAGAAGAAATTGAACAGGAAAAACAAGCAGCAGATGGCATTATAAAAAATATGTCTCCTGAAAAACAAGTCAAATACATAGAGATGAAAACCACAAATGAGAAATTGCTACAGGTAATATTAATTACTACTATGTACCAGGCATGTTGTATGTAGTCTTGCTACTGAACATAAGCTTTGAAGATTGGCAGCGTCAGCATCTCCTGAGAGCTTGACTAAAACTGCTGATCAGAGCCTTCATTTCATCAAGGTCCCTAAGGATTCATATGGACATTTAAATTTGAGAAGTGCTTATCTTGAAACTTAATTTTCTTATGCTAGTTTTTCGCTATAATTTTTTGTTTAATTCTAAGCATCCTTCATTTTTGCATGTTATAAATATACCTGAAAACACTTGTATTTTTATGGACTTTACGTGGGAACATTAAAAGGCCTAATAGACGAAAGTCATATAGATATTTACTTTCCTTTTCCTCTCTGCCTAATAAGCAGCATACCTTTTACCTGCTAGATCTCTGATTTGAATGGCTGTGCTACTTAATCATGTTGCTTGAAGATTAATTTTTTTACTTACACGTTTTTATTGATGCAGTCAGTCCCTGGGTTATGAGCAAGATAGGTTCTGAAGATTTGTTCTTAAGCTGAATTTGTATGTAAGTGGGAACACATTGATTAACCTATTACCTGTAATAGCCTCTGTTGGTAAGTACAGGTCATACATCAGTCAGATATTTCTCACTCCAGAATTTACTGTTTATAAGTGCAAGTTACATGTAAGTCAGAGACTGCCTGTACGTAATAATTTTATGTATCTTAAGTGTACATGAGATATGTACATATACACATATAATCAGATGGGTAATTAGGATATCCTTCACATCAAACATTTATTATTTCTTTGAGTTGGAAACATTCAAAATCTTCTCTTATAGCTATTTTGAAATACAGTAGAACTTATTTCTGTAAGTTGATCACCTAAGGGACTGTAACAGACTGGTCAACATACGGAGATGGTCAACATACGGAGATGGTCAACATACAGAGATGGTCAACATAAGGAACTAGGCCTACTATACTGATACATACATGTTGACCTATGAAAATCAGGTCAACTTGAGGTGGTTGATGTAGGGAAAGGGGTTCTACTGTATATAATGAATTATTGTTACCCAGTAGTCACCCTACTGTGCTATCAAATACTAGAATTTATTCCTTCTATCTAACTGTATTTTTTTTTTTTATCCACAAACCAGCTTCTCTTCATCCCTTCCCTCCCCAGACCCTTCCCAGCTTCTGGTAACCATCATTCTACTCTCTACTTCCATGAGATCAACTTTTTAGCTCCCAGCTCTAAGTGAGAACATGTGCTATTAAATAAGCAATTTAGGAATTTAGATGCCTGCTGAGGGCTCATTTACAGCCCAATGTTCTGTCATCATGGTGCTCTTTCCTGCTCAGATGGCCCTTAATTAAAGACCGAGCAAAGAATTAGGCCTTATAAATCCCAATAATGAATAGAATTTTAGTTTCTCAGATATTCCTTCACTGACAATTTTGTATAATTTTTTATTTCACATAAAATTTATAAGGTACCAATGAAGCATTGAAGAAAGAGTATTATAGACATGCCAAAATATAGTTGATCTTGTACAGGGATTATGAATAATAATATAATCATTTTAATGGGATAATAATAATAATCATTTTAAGGGTCTTATACTAGGAGTGAACCATGTTTACATATATATGTGTGTGTGTATGTACATATGTATGTGTGTGTTTGTCTATATGTTTATATAGTGTAAATCTTGACCTTAAGAGAAATTAGACAAAAAATACAAAAATATGGTTAAAATCAAAATTAAAAATTATAACTTTAGACAATGGCATCATCCAATATTTGATGTTCGCAGAACATAGTCATGATTCACTGCCAAAAGTTCTAGCTATCTTTCATGTGAAGGTTTTTTGAAGGTAGATGGCAAGGTTTATAGTAATGACATAAGGGGAGGGTGAAGGGTAGGTGGAGGGAGGGTAAAGGATGGAACCACACCTATGGTGCATATTGCGAGGGTACATGTCAAATCTATTAAGTGTAGAGTGTAAATGTCTTAACACGATAATTAAGTGAGATGAAGGCTATGTTAACCAGTTTGATGTAAGCATTCCAAAAGGTATATAAAATCAGCACATTGTACTCCATAATGCTTCAATGTATACAGTTATGATTAAATAAGAGACAGAAATTGGCAAAAACAGAAATAATGAAAGTTTAATAAATTATAGTCAAAATGAAAGATATTGGTTGAAGATGTTTACAAAATTTACTTAGTCACATCCATCTTTGAAATGTTGAGAAATGGAGAAACAAATTGTTCTTAATGCAATTTGTATTTATATTTACTGTTTTTTCCCTTTAGGAATTAGATACACTTCAGCAACAACTAGATTCACTGAACATGAAAAAAGAGAGCCTAGAAACTGTAAGTTTAAAATCAAATAAGGATTCTTAATTCTACTGAGCTACAAAAGTTAATTCAGCCAAATATTTAATAGAACTCATTCAAGCATATGTTTATTTAACAGTATACTAACAGGAGTTTAATACATTTAATTTCCATTCTAAATCACAAAGATCATAGTTTGAATAAGAAATTAGATTTAATGATTGAATAGAGTGGCTTATACCCATACTTCCAGTACTTTGGGAGGCAGAGGATCACTTGAGGCCAGTAATTCAAGACCTGCCCATGCTACATAATGTACCCTTTCTCTAAAAAATAAAAACATTTAAAAAAATTATTTGGGTGCATAATCCTAGCCACTCAGATACCTGTTTGAGCCAGGAGGAGTTTGAGGTTACGGTGAACTATGATTGTGCCAGTGCACTTCAGCCTGGGTGACAGACCAAGATGCTGACTCTATAAATTAATGAATGAATGAATGAGTGAGTATCTAAAGTGTGCAAAACAAATCATTCTGTCTTACTGGGGCATGCAAATCTGATGGCAATGTAAAGACATACAAGAGACTGAAAACATTAAAAGGGAGAGAGATGAGTTTATTACTTTAAGGAAGTAAAAGCTTGCAATTGTTTTCTTATTCACTTATTTAAAGCAATTTTTAATTCACAGCACAAACCATGTTTATATTTTTAAAAATTGAATAAAAGTAGAAATGTCTGTTTTGTTTCTCTCTTTGCAGGTAAAACTACTAGAAAGACATTTATTAAGTGCTTATTATATGCTTTTTTGAGCTTTTTACATATAACTCCAGCATAATCGTTTAATCTTCACAGCATTCCTGTAATGGTTTGACAGTTTTGGAAAACTTCAGATGGAGTTCATGTTTGACAGCTATCTGCAGCTTTTTTTTTTTTTACCCTAACATCTTATCATGAATGTCTATTCATGTTAATTTATGGAGATTCCTTTCATTATTTTAAATTATTGCATTACATTTATTATACAGTGTATGGTTATAACACATCCTTGTAGGAGAACAGAGTGGTTATTTTTTTCTGGGATTATAAACAATGTTTCAGTGAAAATATACATTTTATACAAAGTTACATTAATGTATCATAAGATTAATTTCTCTTATTGGATCAAAGGTATACATTTCTAAGATTGCAAGATTACCAAATTGCCTTTCTTTCTTATGTTGAAATGGGGTCTCTATCTCTCAGGCTAGAATATAGTGGCATGGTCATGGCTTACTGCAGCCTCAAACTCCTGGGCTCATGCAATCCTCCTACCTCAGCCTCTGGTGTAGCTGGGATTATAGGCATAGCCAACATACCTGGATAATTTTTTAAAAATATTTTTGTAGAAATGGTGTCTTGCTGTATTGACCAGGCTGGTCTTGAACTCCTGGCCTCAAGCAATCCTCCTGCCTCAGCCTCCCAAAGTGCTGGGATTACATGTGCAAGTTACTATACCAGTTCCAAGTTGCCCTACAAAAAAGTTGTTCCAATCATTACCCCTAGAGGTTAAGTATAAGAGTATATACCCTGTACTCACTGGCAGCAAACATCTAACTTTTTCAATTTTTGCTAGTTTAATAGGTAAAAATCAGTACCTTGCTCTAATTTTCACTTATTTGTGCATAAATTTGAGTATCTGTTTATGTCTTTGCTGACCAATGAATTTCTTTTTCTGTTAACTACTTTTTCATGTCCTGGGTACAATATACTGTCTTGGACTTCACACCTTGCTTGCTTTTCCTGATCTCCTGTAGATTCAGATAGATATGATGGTAGGATTAGGGATAGTTATATATTGACATGATTGTTGTCACCTATCATGCAAAAGAAATAAACTTGATTATTTTGTAATTTGAGAGTTTGCTATTGAAAAGTCTTTTATTAAAAATATTAAGGTCATTTTCTATGTTTGGTTTCCATCTGTAGGTACACTTAATTTTTATTTTCTTGATCTTTGTGGTGATAGAAATATGCTTTAGGAAAGAAGACCACATTTAGTATTTATATACTATAGTCAGCTTGCAGAATTCCTCACTGACTTTTTTTGAAGTGAGTGGGGGAGTCAACTCTTATTTTACTTGGCAAATTTAGTTTTTGTAGAAAGAACTTAAGCTTAACTTATGACCTTAGATTTAGGTTTTGTACTAATGCCACCCTTCTTTGGCATAGATACATATATATCTAAAATAGCATGAGTTTAGAAAATGTATAATGTTCTCAAATCAATACAATGTGTCACTAATTCTATTTCACTTTTGCCAGATTTATTTATATTTCTTTATTCATGACTTGTTCTTCAAAAAAATATGTTAGACAGTGGTCAGTTAGTTGGTATTTATTGAATATCTACTTTGTGTTCACCAGTGTGCAAAGTATTATAGGTCATGATGATTTAGTTAACAGATCAGGTAAAGGATCATCATGAACTTGAGTTTTCAGGGACAGTTTTTTCAAGACAGTGTTTGAGCAATTCCATAGGATTATTAGGCAAAAAGATACTATGACAAAGGAAAGCAAAATATCTCTTCGCATGTATTTTGTTATCATGCCTTTTCTTTACATTATCTGAAGCTAATCCATTACTTGAACTATATATTTAACCCACTGCTTATGGACTTTCAAATATTTCCCTTGTCTACTTTTTCCTTTTTTTTTTTTTAACCATTTCTTCTCTTACACTTTCAAAAAGAGGAGGTCTTCCATCTTAAGAATTTGGTCTTGGGTGGTGCCTGAGGCTCAATGAGTAGGGTGCCGGCTCCGTATACTGAGGGTGGCGAATTCAAACTTGGCCCTAGCCAAACTGCAACCAGAAAGTAGGCGGGTGTCATGGAGGGCGCCTGCAGTCCCAGCTACTCAGGAGGCTGAGGTAAGAGAATCGCGTAAGCCCAGGAGTTAGAGGTTGCTGTGAGCTGTGTGATGCCATGGCACTCTACTGAGGGCAATGAGACTCTGTCTCTATTAAAAAAAAAATGGTCTTTATATTATGGGCCTAGTTTCAAATATCATTGTTAACTCGCATAGCTTTATTAATTTGGAAAAGTTATTTATATCTCAGATCCTGTTTCCTCATCTGTCAAAGGCAGATGATAGTACTGTCTTGTAGAGTATTACTATGAGCATTAGAGATAGCATATGAAGAACATGGGGTATAGTGTCTGGCACAGACCAAGTGCTCAATGAATAATAGCTTCAAATGTCATTTTAATCATTACCACTACCACCACCCACATTCTTACCTTTTTGGTTATCTATTAAAATCTTTTCCTATGAACACACCATGTCATTAGCTATAAAATTGTTAACACATTCTTATTTTCTCTTTGTGAACAGTAAAATAGTGGTGAATATACAATAACTCACATTGTGTGTGTTAGTTCCTAATATTGCTGTAAAAAGTATGACAAACAGCGTGGCTTAAAACAACAAAAATGCACTCTTTATAGTTCTGGAGGCTAGAAGTCTGGAATCAAGGTGTCATTAGAAGCATGAGACTGTGGATAGAATCTTTTTTTAGTTATTCCTAGCTTCTGGTGTCCTTGGCATTGCTTCAGTGCAGTTGCATCCCTCCAGTCTCTTCCTGGGTTATCACGTGCCATATTCCCTGTGTCACTCTTTTGTAGTTATAAAGATACCAGTCATATTGGATTAAGACACACCCTAATCACCTTATCTTGACTAAATCTGCAAAGACTCTTATTTCTAAATAAAGGTCAAATTCACAAGGGAACACAATTCAACCCATAACATTGTAGAAACTATGTATGTGAACTATTCTGGGGAAAGTATCTTTCCTCTAAAGGTTATGTCTACAAATATAGACTCAAGCAATCAACCCAGCTTGGCCTTCCAGAGTACTAGGATTATAGGCATGAGCCACAACATCCAGCCTGTTTGAGAATGATTTGAAGACTTTAAATCAGACATCTTTTTTTTTTTTTTTTTTTTTTGAGACAGAGCCTCAAGCTGTCCCCCTGGGTAGAGTGCCATAGCATTACAGCTCACAGCAACCTCCAACTCCTGGGCTCAAGTGAGTCTCCTGCCTCCGCCTCCCAAGTAGCTGGGACCACAGGCGCCCGCCACAACGCCCGGCTATTTTTTGGTTGCAGCCGTCATTGTTGTTTGGCGGGTCTGGGCTGGGGATTCGAACCCGCCACCTTAGGTGTACGTGGCTGGCGCCTTAGCCGGTTGAGCTATAGGCGCCGAGCCTAAATCAGACATCTTAATTAAAGTTGTACATACATAGTTACATTTTCTTTATTTTCCATTAGTAGACATATTCTCTATTTGTTCAGGTCTGATATTTAGAAAATAAAAGAAACTATAGCTACCAACTTCCTGTGAATCTTAGACTGAAAATAGCTTATAGAAGTATACAGGGATTTATTTTATTCTTCCTATCTAGAAATGGGCTTTTTAGCATTATTGAGTACTAAAGATATTTGATAACAATATTTGAAGATGCTAGTGGTTTAAATTTATTCTTATTTTTATAAACTGAAACCTATTTGAGAATTTTTTTTTGAGATAGACTCTCACTTTGTCACCCTGGGTAGAGTGTCATGGCATCATCATAGCTCACAGTAAACTCAAACTCTTGGGCTCAAGTGATCCTCTTGCCTCAGCCTCCTGAGTAGCTGGGACTATAAGCACCTACCTTGAAACCCAGGTAGTTTTTCTATTTTTAGTAGAGACAGAGTCTCACTCTTGCTCAGCCTAGTCTCAGACTCCTGAGCTCAAGCAATCAACCCAGCTTGGCCTTCCAGAGTACTAGGACAATAGGCATGAGCCACCACATCCAGCCTGTTTGAGAATAATTTTTGACAAAACACTAATTATAATTTTCCCTTTTTTATTTTTGTTAGGAAATAACACACTCCCAGGTAAAACAGGAGGCTGTATTGCTGCATGAAAAACTTTATGAATTAGAATCCCATCGAGATCAAATGGTTGCAGAAAACAAAAGCATGGGATCCCCAATGGAAGAGAGAGAGAAATTACTTAAGCAGGTAGGAAAAACAAACAATTTTAATATGTCAGGTTTTGTTAAATGTATTGATTTGTGTTATTTAAGGTATTTGAATTGAACAGAAAGCCAGAATTTGTCTAAAGAAAAAGTAAAAAGTTAGCTTCACCTAAACTGATATGAAATACTTGATCAAGAAACTCTGAATAAAAGTCATTTCTTCATATAAACTATCTATTCGTTTAAAACCTCGTATGGTCTTTTTGCATATTTTATTATTTCATATTTTGGATATTTATTAGGAAAACTTAAAACTTTTTTATTATTCATTAAATATTTAGGTAAATCTTATTGAAGAATTGTTTCATTGTCTGCTTTGGGCCTTGTATTTAGAAGATGAAGTGTCCTGAAGCTTATGATTTTTTGTGGTTATTACTATGCCTCCATGAAGGGAAATAATTAAAATGTCCTATGAAATTATGATGTCATAAAGATGTATCGTGTGTACTCAGTAGCTTGCTTCCTTTTCCAAGGCTAGGGGGTAACTCTAAGTTGTAATTAAGATGTTGCTTATCCTGAGACACTAACTATAGGGTCCTTAGAATAACTGTGTGTATATTTGAATACCACTCCAGTAAGGAACTCCTTTGCAGTTTTTGACTGAGCCCAGTGTGTTTGAAGGAACTTTAGGGATCCATTCAGGGACTATTTAAGTATTATAATCATTCCAGAATTATTTAAAATCTAGAACCCTGGAGTTTCTTGGAGAAATAACTGGAGGCTAGAAAGGAAAGAGGAATTTTGTGGCAGCAATAAAATGGCTGGTTAAATTTGAATTTCAGATAAGCAATGACTAATTTTTTAAACATATGTATATAGTGAATTATTCTTTAAATATTATTTTCTTTTTATGCCTTTATATAGGTTAAAGAAGATAATCAGGAAATAGCCAGCATGGAGAGACAGTAAGTACTTTTGTACTAGGACATTTTTACATCAGTACTTCATCTTTTAAATTACATTCTACAGATGTAAGAGTGAATATTGTTACAAGTGTTCTTGGTTCACACTGATGATATTGATACAGCCTTCAATCTTACAGTTTTAAATATTTAAGTATTTGGTATAATGGCTTTTTATAAACAACTTTATTAATATATAATACAACCATGTAATTCACACATTTAAAATGCACAATTCAGTTTTTTGGTATATTCATAGAGTTGTACAGCCATCACTCCAATCAATTCTAGAATAGTTCAGCTACCCCAATAAAACCCCACGCCCCTTAGCCATCAGCTCCCTCACGTTGCTTCCAGCTCTAAGCAACTAATAATCTACTTTGTATCTCTGTAGATTTACCTCTTCATATAAAGGGAATCAGACAATATATAATTCTGTATGGCAAGTTCCTTTCACTTAGCATAATGTTTCAAAGTTGATTTATATTGTAGTATATATAAATATTTCATTTCTTCTTATTGCCAAATAATACTCCATTGTATAGATATACCATATTTTATCTATTTGTTAATTGATAGATATTTGAGTTGTTATCATTTTTTCACTATTGTGAATCAAGCTACTATGAACATCCATGTAAAGGTTTTTGTTTAGTCATGTTTTCACTTCTCTTGCGCATATACCTAGGAGCAGCATTGCTGACTCCTGTGGTACTCCATGTTTAACTTTTTGAGGTACCTCTAGACTGTTTTCCTAAGCAGCTGTACCATTTTACATTTCCACCAACAGTGTATGAGGGTTCTAGTCTCTCCACATCCTCACCAACACTTGTTATTATTAGCTCATTAAATATGAAATGTCCAATTTTGAATCAAAAGTTTTGTTTATTATATCTCGAAGAAGGAGTATAATCTTTAATGTCTGCACCTAAACTATAGACACAGTTTTATCATCTTAAAGGTATCTTGTTTATGCCAGCAGCAAAGAAGCCTAGAGAGCTAATGGCAATGAAATTGTAAAAGGTATTTTCCGTACCTTGTTAAGAATTTAATACTTTGCTTTTCCTAACATTTGCAAGAAATGATCCAAAGCCTAGAAAATGTGGTAGGCAGTTGATGCAAAGTCTGCTGAATATGGTGAATGACAGCAAGTTTCCAAATCAGTTCTGTAGTTTGAGCATTGTTGTTTATGTGACATTTGCTCAAGCATTGTCTTACAAGAGGATTGGCCTGTCTCTACTGACTAATCTTGGCTGCTTAATTGCAAGCGTCCTCATCATTTGATCCAATTGGTTGCAGTAGACATCTGCTGTAATTTATTGACCTTGTTTCATGAAGCTGTAGTGGATAATACCAGCCCTGGAGTTCGGATATGGTAGCTCACACCTGTAATCATAGCACTTTGGGAGGCTAAGACAGGTGGATTGCTTGAGCTCAGGAGTTTGAGACCAGCCTGAACAAAAGTAAAACCTGTCTCTAAAAAAATAAATATCCCACATTATGGTGGAGCCTATAGTCCCAGCTACTCAGGTGACCAAGACAAGAAGATCTCTTGAGCCCAAAAGTTTAAGGTGGCTGTGAGCTATGACACCGCGGAACTCTACCCAGGGCACAAAATGAGACTGTGTCTCAAAAAAGTAAAATAAGTAAATAAATAAATACCAGCATCAGACCACTGAACAAAGCTATTAGCTTTTTTGGTGAATATTCGGTTTTGGACTATGTTTTGGCACTTCATCTTTATCTTACCATTGTGCTGAACACTTGGAATTATCAAAAAGAATCCATTTTTCATTACACATAACAATACAACGTAGAAATGGTTCATGTTTATATTATGATAGCAAAGAAAGGCAAGCTTCAAGACAATTTCTCTTCTGACGCTCATTTAATTCATGAAGAACCCATCTATTCAGCTTCTTTCTTTTTCTAATTTGTTTCAAATGGTCCAATATTGTAGGAATAGTAACATCAGAGCTTGATGCGGATTCACACATAGATTGAGATGGATTTGCTTCCACTACAGCTTTCAGCTCATCATTATCCACCGTGGTCTCAGGTGGCCACATGGCTCATTTTTAAGATTAAAATCACCAGAATGGAACTTCACAAACCATGATATACTATGTGTTCATTCGCCACATCCTTTCTAAACATTTTGTTGCTGTTTCAAGCTGTCTGTGCTACACTGATTCTATAAGGTGACTCATACTGGAAAATAACATGAATTCTTGACTTATCCATGCTTTCACAAAAATTACTCTTAAAAAATTTGAAAGATAATCAGAAGCTAAAAACGTATGTTTGAAAGAATGAGAGTGTACCTTCATAATACAAATAAAACAAGATGTGTCAAAGTGAAATTTCAGAGCTATCAACTGTCAAACTTAGTACTTAAGGAAATTGGACATTTCATACATGGTAACCTAATATTTTTCTCTTTTGATTATAGCCATCCTAATGGGTTTGAAGTAGTATCTCCATTGTGGTTTTGATTTCCATTTCTCTGGTGGCTAAAAATATTGAACTTCTTTTGGCCATATGTATATCTTTGAGGAAATAGTTATTCAAATTCTTTGCCCATTTAAAAACATTAATTTTTAATTACTGTGGGTACATAATAAAATAGAACCTCTGTAGGTTGACCACCAAAGAGATTATAACAAACTGGTCAACATACAGAGGTGGTCAATGTAAGGAACTTCCATTGAGTATATGTGGTGCATATCTGGTACTTAAGGAGATGTTCAATGTAGAGAGGTGGTCAACTATGGAGGTTCCACTATATTTGTATGTGTTCATGGGGTATGTGTAATGTTTTGACACAAGCATACAATGTATAATTATCAAAACATGATAATTGAGGCATCCATCACCTCAAGCATTTATCAGTTCTTTGTTTTAGGAACAATCCAATTTCATGCCTTTAGTTATTTTAAGATAAATAATAACTTACTATTGACTATATTCACCTTGTTGTGCTATCAAATATTAGCTATTGATCATTCTACACTTATGTAACCATATTTTTCTACGCATTAACCATCCCCACATTATTTTCTCCCATTTCCCACTACTTTTCAAAGCTTCTCATAACCATCATTCTTCTATCTCTGTGAAGTTGATTGTTTTAGTTTTTAGCTCCCACTGTGAGTGAGACCATGTAAAATTTGTCTTTCTGTGCTTGGCTTAGTTAGCTTAATATAATGTTTTCCTCTTCCATCCATGTTGTTACCAATAATAGGTTTTCTTTCTTTTTTATAAAAGGCTAAATAATATTCCATTGTGTATATGTACCACATTTTCTTTATACATTCATCCATTGATGAACACATAGGTTGATTTCAAATCTTGGTTATTGTGAATAGTGCCACAATAAGATCGGAGCTTTGCCTATTTTAAAATGAGATTATTTTTCTTTTTGTATTATAGCCCAAAAATATGGGGAAGGGGGAAAGGAAGGGGAGGGAAGGGGGAAGGATGGGTGGAGGGAGGGTGATTGGTGGGACCACACCTATGGTCCATCTTACAAGGGTATATGTGAATCTTTCTAAATGTAGAATATAAATGTCTTAACACAATAACTAGGAAAATCCCATCAAGGCTATATTAACCAGTTTGGTGAAAATATTTCAAACTGTATATAAAATTAGCCCACTGTACCCCATGATTGCATTAATGTACACGGCTATAATTTAATTTAAAAAAAGGAAAAAAAAGAACTGTAACAGTTCTTTATATATTTTAAATAGAAGTTTCTTTTTTTTCTTTTTCTTGAGACAGAGTCTCACTATGTCACTCTCGGTAGAGTGCAATGACATCATAGCTCACAGCAACCTCAAACTCTTGGGCTCAAGTGATTGTCTTGCCTCAGCCTCCCTAGCAGCTGGGACTTACAGGCACCTGCCACAGTGCCTGGCTATTTTTCCATTGCAGTTGTCATTGTTGTTTAGCTGGCCTGGGCTGGGTTCGAACCCCCTAGCCTTGGTGCATGTGGCCAGTACCCTACCCACTGAGCTACAGGCACCACCCTAAATAGAAGTTTCTTATCAGATACATGATTTGCAAAAAATTTCTCTCATCCTGTGGGTTGTTTTTTCACTTTCTTGATGGAGTCCTTGGCAGCACAAACATTTTCAGTTGAAATGACATCCAGTTTCTGTCATATTTAAGAAATCAATGCCTAATTGAGTAATGTTTATGACTAATAATGCCTAGTCATAAACACTGTGCCTTTGTTTTCTTCTAAGAGTTTTATAGATTATCTCTTACACTTATATCTTTGATCCATTTTGAATTAATTTCTGTATGTGATATGAGGTAGGACTCCAATTTTATTCTTTCGATTGTGCGTATCCAATGGTTCTAGTACCATTTATTGAAAATACTCTTCTTTTCCCATTTAATTATCTTGGCACTCTTTGAAAATCTATTAAACATAGGTATATGCTCTTATTTGTAGATTCACAGTTCTAGTTTATTGATATATATGTCTATCCTTATTCTTGTATCACATTATCTTAATTACTATAGCTGTATTAAGTATAAATGTTTCTTGTCAAAATTTTAATTTGTATAATGTTCTAATAGTAGATTTTCTCTTATTTTCTAATTTGTGAGGCTAATTTGCCAACTCAGTTTGGTTTATACAAACCTATAAAAAGATGTTAAAAAAAAAAGATGTTAAAGATTTTTTACTTTCTTAATATTCTAAGTCAAACTCAAAAGAAGATTGAGGAAGGGTCTCCTGTTGAAGTCAGTCACCTTAATGTTCTCAGAATATACTTCTGCTGCAAATAGGAACCGTAAACAAACCTAAAAAAGATTTTTCTCTCTAAACACATAGTATTATCCTCAGAATAGGGCATATTATTTCTAGATACTGTTTATGCAGCTTAGAGAAGTATTTTAACATCATTAAATGTTTTCATTATCTTTATAAATTCATTAAAAATGTTTTCAACAGGTTAACAGATATAAAAGAAAAAATAAACCAGTTTAATGAAGAAATTAGACAACTTGATATGGATTTAGAGGAACACCAAGGTAATATTTTTTATATTGTTATAATGTGGCTTAACAGATACATAGCAGTATTGGTACAGTGACAACTGGTATCTCAGAGACTATTTAACTACTAGGATTTATTGTTTCTTATGATATTGCTAACTTTATTAATATAAAGTAATATTAAAGCAACTTTTAAACTGAACAAAAACTTGAAATGGTTAGATAATAATAAGAATTTATTTAGTTTTGCAAAGCAGTTTTTACCAAAAAAAAGGAAGTAAAATGGTTTAAAGTTGTTATAAATTCCTAAGTTATACTAACACAATATGATCAACTATTAATTAATGTTGATAACTGGTAGCACTGGAGAAGGTCAGTATCAAACCACAAATACTATATATCACAAATAGCCCAAAAAGAATTAATTCCCCTGCCAGGCCAAGTAACAAAGTAGCAAGCGCTGATCATCCTGACCCTTCTCCAGCATTCCCTGTCAGTGGAGTTTTAATAACCAATGCAGGTATCAGAACACTTGAGGGAGCTTGAGGTTTAAACAAGTACAAATTCTATAGCAGAGGTTTGGGAGCCATTTATGTGTGGTTGGTAAAAGAGGTTGGGCATTGTAGTTTTCTAACCAGCCTCTCCCTAATAAGGGAGAGAAAAGTGGGTTTCTCATGATACTTTAAAAACAGTTTAAGTGAAAACCAGTAAATATACTCTTAGGTGCTTATCACGAATTAACTATATATTCTTATGAGTTAGGTATGATATAAACAAGTGTGCACATGTGTGTATTCCTAATTATGGCTGATGAAACATTCATAATGGGGAAAAAGAGTGGTCTATTCCTAAATTAAGTTTTTAAATTCTGTTTTAAAAATGCCATATCAGTTTTAGGTATATCTTGTATTTATGCTTTTTCTTGATTGTGAATGGTATCATTAGCTACTCCATAATACCTGGGCTTAGCACTTTGCAATCTTTGCAAGAATCCTTCGAAACTTTGTTAACTCATTTTATATTTGTTGAAGCTCAAAGAAGTCACATAATTTACTCAAATTCTCCTAGCTAGTAAGGAGTAAGGCTAGATTCAAACCAAGATGTATTTGACTCCAAAGTCTTAGTTGTCTTGCCTGCGTCTACCTTTGACTTTCTGATATGAAATGTGGCATTTGTAAAGTTAAAAATATTCTTATAAGTTATGTAAATAGTTTGATTTACATATGGCTACTCAAAGCTTTAAATACTGAATATAAAGGCAGATAGACAGTCCCAGTTACCAGGTAAATAAACTTGCCTGAGTTTTAGTTTTCTCATCTGCAAGTCAATACAATCATCCTATCACACTAAGATTTATGAATATTAAATGTAATATACAATGAGATAGACTCCCAATAAGGTGTTTAGACTAAGATCATGTTCTTTTTCTTCTTAAAAGTATTCATTTTCATTGATAGATAGATAAAAATACTGTGTACAACATGATGTTTTGAGATATATATACATACATACATTGTGGAATGGAATTAATCCATTGAGCTAATTAATTTATATATTTACATACTATTTTTTTCTGGTGAGAATGTTCAAAGTCTACTGTAATCTGTCTTCAAGAATAGATTTTTATTAACTGTAGTCACTGTACTGTACAACAGATCTCTTTTTTGTTTTTTTTTTTTTTTTTTTTGAGACAGAGCCTCAAGCTGTCCCCCTGGGCAGAGTGCCGTGGCATTACAGCTCACAGCAACCTCCAACTCCTGGGCTCAAGCGAGTCTCCTGCCTCCGCCTCCCAAGTAGCTGGGACCACAGGCGCCCGCCACAACGCCCGGCTATTTTTTGGTTGCAGCCGTCATTGTTGTTGTTTGGCGGGTCCGGGCTGGGGATTCGAACCCGCCACCTTAGGTGTACGTGGCTGGCGCCTTAGCCCGTTGAGCTATAGGTGCCGAGCCACAACAGATCTCTTGAACTTATTTTTCCTAACTGAAATTGTGTATCCTTTGACCACGCTATTTTTTTATTAAATTGTTTTATTGATTTTCATTTATGTAGATTTTCTTTATTAATATATGTAAAACTATTCTGAGAAATATAACAATTTTAGATGCTTTAAATACATTGTAAATAATTTTTCTAAATCTGAATTTCTAACATTCAGGTTTTTTCCACTAAAATAGAGCATTTTGGGAGCAACAATTTATTATTAGTTGCTAATTCTAAGACAAATAGAGTGCGTTGGATTTTAGCTTCCATTTTTCATTATTTTCTAACTTTTGTCCTTTTTTATTAATGTAGAAAAAGACGATCTATAATCAGTTGTAATCGTGGCAAAAAGCATTTATAAATAAGAGTATATAATTACATGTGCTATATTAATATAGATATGTGTGTTTATGTATATATATGTATATGTTATGCATTCATTTTTCATTCTTCTCACTGTGACCATCCTAGATTATTGGTACAACAGCAGAGGGGGGTTTTGTTAGAAGGTTACTTGTTAGAAGGTTACTTGTTAGTTCAGGATCTCATTATCTTTTGCCTGAACTATAGGAGTAGCCTCTTAACTGGTCTCCCAACCTCCAATCTTACCCCTTCTCAGGTTCTTCCACCAAAATGTGCCAGAGTAACTTATGCAAAATGTGATTCTGTGTCATTCTCCTGCTTAACAGTGGTTTCCCATGATGTGTGAGATAAAGTTCAAGAATTTTTGCATGTCATACTAGTCCCTCTGTAATCTGGCCTCCACATTGTCAGCCTCCTCTCTCACCTCTCATCATCTTTGTCCTTATGTTCTGATAAGAATGTAACTGTGGCGCCCCACACCTCATCCCTTTACTGTATGTCAAACTGTTTCATACTCTTTTTGCATGTGTTATTCATTCCTTTGCTGAATGTTCTTTTCCCTTTTATTTACCTTACTCAGTTCTTATCCTTTAAGATCTACCTCAGGTATCCTCTCATCAGCATAACTCCAGCTTCCTTCTGTGACCTGTTTCTGGGCTATGCTAAGTTAGCAACCTCTCTCCATGTTTTCCAAGCACCCCATTCATATAACACTGATTGACTTTACTGTATTACGATTACCTATTTACGTGTTTGTCTTACCCTCTCAGACTATAAGTACACAAAGACAGGGACAATAGCCTACTCACTTTGGTAACCTCTTTCATCAGCACGGTATCTGTGAAAGTAAACACCCATCAAGCGTTTGTGGAATATACTAAACAATTTGTATTTTAACAAAGGAAGAATTATAGAATGATCTAATGGTGAAAGTAGGGCTCTAATCATTTCTTTGGACCTTCTAGCTTTAGAATGTAAGTATGCACTCTTCTCCAGAGAGAATTTGACTGGAAAGGTTTTATTACTTTTCTAGAGGGTTTCTACCTTGGATTCATGTTTTCCAATAAAGCTGTGGGTGCTTGTCTTCATCTACATTCTCAGCAGTTCCTTGTGGATGATCAAGATTGTAGATGATTCATCCTTTAGGATGTGGATGATAATCAAGTTATTTTAGCTTTTGGATCCATACTTAGCTCTGCCCCCTGGCTTTATCCCCTCATTGGTCCATTTCATTGATTTCTTGTATGTTACCTGCCATCTTCCATTAGGGGCATCTGTATGTAATCCAACTAGGCCTTCTTTTGCCTTGTAGGGTTTCTGATTAAGATAGCATATAAACCATTACTGGTGTTTATACATGTCTGACGTTTTAAGTTGTTGCAACTGTTCAGTTTTCAAATAAACTTTAAAAATATTCACATAATTCTCTACAAATTCAAAGGCATTCCTGGATACTGGGTTACGTACAGTTGTGTTTTCTACTAGGTATTAATGGTGACCTCATAATCCAACAGTTTTCCTCAAATATGCATTCATTTTGATAGATACTTAGAGTTATAAGTTGCCAAATATTATATTGAATAATTATGTCTCAAAGTTAACTAAATAAAATCAGTTAGTAGTTATTTGAATATGCTATGAAAGTATTTTTCCTAGATGCTGAGTTACTATTAGTCCCTGTGACAATCTGGATTAATGCAGAGAAAATCCCAATTATACATTTAGACTTTTGACTAATTCTAGATGTTTCTTTGCTGTTGAATCTTTAGTCTTCATAATTGAGTTTTAAAAAATAAAATCTCATAAGAATATTTTATTTATAAGAATAACTGTGTATCATTATCTATTTTTTAAACTACTGGGGTATTTGATTATGTCATGTTAAATATTTGCTAGACTTCCACCCATATAATTTTTCTTTGTTGATGATGGATTGAGTAATTTTGTTATAAGGGTTCTAAATTTATTTAAGTATAAATATGTACACTATTTTATAATTTAGCGGGAAAGGAATTTATTTTTCCTAACTAGAAACAATGAGAAACAGCTCTAGTGAAAGTCATATGCTCAAAATTTGGCTGTAAACTCTGTATCATTAGTAAAGCAGAACTTTATTGGCAGATGCCATAATACTTTTCACAAAAACCTGAACCCATCCTAACTTCTTTCTCAGCTGAAATGAAAATAATTGAATATTTGCTTAAATACTGCTTTTTAAAATGCTACTTCTGTATAAGTAAGGGGACATAATAGAAAAGGCATTGTTATTCTGAATAAAGTAGAAGAAAATAGGCAATGGTAGCTTATGTTCTCACTCAACACAGGATATTATTTTCAATTTTGTCCTTAAGCCTTACTTCTAACATGTAGCCCAGAAACTTTTTTTTTTTTAAATAAAGATTGGGTCTTACTATATTACCCATGCTGGAGATAAATGGATATCATAGATATTCACAAGCACAACTGCAGCATACTGCAGGCTTGAACTCCTGGGCTCAAGCAGTCCTCCTGCCCAGCCTACCAATATTTGGGTCTGCATATACATGCCACTGTGCCCTGCCTTGTTTTTGATAAGATATTTGTTGAAGAAATTTTTATTCTCACCACAAGCTAATAATACTTGCCAGATTGTATCTCATATTGAAATCTCACAAAGTAAATAATGCTTCTTGGTTCACCACTTAGCTCGAATC